TAAAAAAAAAAAAAAAAAAAAAAAAAAAAAAAGCAAAAATAAGTAATATGAAAAAAAAAAACATATTCAAAGAGTTGATTGGTATTCCTAACATATATAAATATTCAACAAATAATCTGCGAAACTCAAGACGAATTGATAAAAAAAATTAAGGATTGCAAAAAAAAAAGAATAATAATAAATGAGACTAACATCTAATTGTAATAAAATTTGTATATATATATGAAGAAATTTTAGACTAATATAATTGTATATAATATTTGTTTGATTATTTGATTGTTTGTAAGCATAAACTATGTAAAAATCACTGTAAATACTTTTAACTAGAATAAATTTGACAACAAAAATACATTTGACGAATAAATTTTGACTTTTTATAGCGAACAATCATGTTTATATACCAACACTAAGAGGCTTAATAAAGATTTCGATAATCTAATATACATATATACTTCTTTGAGATTTATAAGAAAAAGGAAGTCTTAGAAACAGTGAAAACTTAATATTTTAAGTAAAAGCACTAAACTATATAAACTCTGCTTAACCTTAAATCAAATCAGATTCAGGTAAAGTCAAACAGAAAGGTATTTTACCTATATATAGATAACGCTAGACAAACTTCCACATATAAATATGACAAGTGACTTAAATTATGATAAAAGTAATGCAAATAAGAAAGACATGTGACTTGACTTACTGATGTAATGCTCCAGGCCGAGGCTTGTCAATAGGGTGTGTATATCCTTGTGTTGCGAGAGTTGCATTCGGCGACTGACGGGCGTTGCGTCCAGCAGGCCCGTGGTGGCGCTCAGTCCGTAGGGTGAGCCCAGGCCGGGTGGGGGCAGGGGCATTCGCCAGCCATTAACACCACCGAGCCCGTCATCGACCGTTTCGAGGGGGGCCGGTGAGGTGCGGCTTAGACCCATGCCCAGCCAGGCGGGGGTCGGGGTACGCAGCTCACCTGCCACCGGAGTTCGTTCCATGGCCTTAAAGCCAAGTGCGCGTTTCATATCAAAATCAAATGCGCGTTGTTGTTGTTGCTGTTGTTGTTGCTGTTGTTGTTGTTGTTGATGTTGTTGTTGCTGTTTGCCAGCAACCGATGCTAAATCGTAGTGCAAACTACGATAGCTCTCGGCGCTGCCAGGCAACAGATGTGCTCCGCCACTGTTAATGCCATTAGTCGCATTGCTCAATCCAAGCAAGACGCCATCGCTGAGACGGCGGCCGAGTCGAGCGGCGCCCACAATGCTGCCCACCTCGCTGCTGTAGGTGGAGTCCGGCGAGTAGTGCGCCCGATTGGCGCCCGACGATGATGATGTCGAGGAGACGGTCGTCTGTACCTGGCCATACGGTGGATACGATTGCTCCAATGATGTGGTGCTGCTGCTGAAGCTCTGATAGCCGCTCGTATTTTGGCTGCAGCTATTGCGAGGCGATAGATTGATGGATCCCGTTACGCTAATGGTGGGCGGCAAATTTGCGGGGGGCTTGAGTAAACCACCAGCTCCGGGCACTTGCAGATAGTTGTTGTTATTATTATTGATGTTGTTGTTGTTGTTATTATTGTTGTTGTTGCTAATATTATTACTGGTAGCAGTTGTATTATTGTTGTTGTTGTTGCTGCTGCTGTTGTTGCTGCTGTTGTTGATGGCTGACAGCGGACGGGGCTGATAATTGCTGTTATGCAACTGCATATACTTCTGTGTGGGCGCACATATGCCGGTGGGCGTGGCCAGGCCAGCTGCACCGAGCAGCATGTGACCCTTGCCATTGTTGTCATACGGCGTCAACTGTCCGCCCATTGTGGGCGGCAACAGCGATGGCGTCTTCGGACTATCCGGATAACCGGCCAATAGCGCAGTCAATTGGGATCGATACGCCAGACTAACATCACTATCCTTTGGCATGAAATAATAATCGGGTATATCTGGCTTGATGGCGGGCGTAGTCAGGTGGAGAATCTCCTGGCGCGCCTCATAGATTTTATCTGCAAATCACAAACAATTGTTAAGTGATTTGTAGGTACAATGATTAGAGTAATTAAATTACAAAATAAATACATATAAATACTGGATGATTAGAGTAATAATATAACACAATAAAATTTTTATTTGTTCAGTGTCTTCTGTGTCTTCGTAAATGCGCAAATTTTTCCATTTAGATTACAATAAATACACAGAAATATCAAAATATATATTTCATAGACTTTCTATTTATATAAAATAATATTTTTCACTTAAATTGTAAACCCAAAAAAAAATCCAAAAAAAAAGGAACCTTTCCAAGCTAAAACATTCTCTTCGCTATCTCCGCAGTGCAACAAGTCGCACTAACACTATAATAACTTACGAGGCCACCGGCGATACACACACATACGTATGTAAATATAACACCCAAACCTACACCCAACTACTGTAAGCCGACGGCTATAGTTCTCACGCTCACAAAATACACAATGTTCTGTTGTTTTTGCTAGACTACCATAACAATAAAAACTATTAGGTATTCCGCTCACACTGTCTAATTAAAGCTCACATATTTCTTCTAAGTATTTTTTGTAAGTCTCTCCTCTAAGTATTTCTCTAAGCATTTCTTCCCATATATTGCCTCTTCATCCAAGAATTTCCTCTGTCTTAAAAGTATGTCCTCTAAGTCTTAGTGGAAAGTCGTATTTCCACTACGTATTTCCACTACGTATTTCCACTACGTATTTCCACTACGTAT